GGCTGGAGTTGTACGGTGAGTGGGCACTTGGCACTTCCCTCACCTTTTTTCTTTAGATTGAAAAAATGATGTATATATCGTCAAACAGTGCTGCCTGATAAACCGTAGGCAGAGAGGGAGAAGAGGACAAGAAACGAGGGGCTGTGACAAACTGTACATATGTAAGGACCTGCCCAAACACGGACTGAGAACACACTGAGTTTCGCAGCTTGACTTGCTGAGATCCCGCTTTCTGCTGAGTTTTCCACTTGCTGGTCTGCGTACCTGTCTGAGTGCTTGACGACTTGAGGGTGACCCGCAACGGTACTTGCTTGCTTGGGAGGCCCCGTAGGGCCGGTACTTACCTGTGGCTGTCACATTGACAGTTGCAGCGAGGAAAACACTCAAGTGGCGGGAATAACCCGCGAGACTCAGAGCAGCGGAAAAACACTCAAGTAGCAGGTAGGCCGGTACCACACCAAGTAGTGGTAGATGTGCCGGTTAGGTCTGGGCGGGTGCAGTCCAAGTAGTAGTAGCTTAGGTCCAGGCGGGTGCCAGTCCATGTAGTCTATTTGAGGGCCTCTACGGGCAATATCAGAGTCTGCAGATGTTTCCCTCCGAAAGGGAGGAGGTAGCGGTTGCTTGGAGGCTGCGTAGAGGAGGAGGAAGAAGAGGACTAGGAAGGGGGAGTGCCAGGGGTACTTACCTGGCTATGGTGGACGTCATCTTCATCACCTTGGTGGGCGCTCCATCTGGAAGTCCCCCGTTGGGGTAGAGCTACACCAAGAAGCTTCGAGGCAGAGTCAGGCATGGCGGCCTGAGTGGAAGCAGCCATAACTGCTTTGAGTTGTCTTTTGCACGTTGGGCAAGGCTCCAGCAGTCTGCCATAGCCTCGGCCTTCGTGAAGAGGAAGGAGGACGGCGGCAATGGCCATGGTGGACCTCATGTTGTGCCTGCAGTAGGAGAGGGATTCGTACATTGATTCTGGTTCGGTCATTCATCATTATTCTTATTATTGATTGTTTGATAAAGGAGGAGGAGAAAAGGAGGAGGAGATTGGTTGCCAAGAGGAAGGGGAATTACCATTGGTCTTTGCTGGCAAACATCTTCTTCTTCTTCTTCTCTGGGACAGTGATTCTGGATCTGCCATTCAACATCGTTATTATTATTCTTGTTTGGAATAAGAGGGGAAGAGATAAGGAGGAGGAGAGTGGTCAGCGAAGAAGAAGAGCATTATTGGTCTATAATGGTGTACATCATCTTCTTCTACTTTCTTTCTTTCTTCGTCTTCTTCTTACCCTCTCTCTCCTCTCAATTTCATTCATTTCTTTTTGCAATTGGACGGCATTGTACGTTCTGATGATTGTGTACTTCGAAATTGGCCAGGATCATAACAGTTCGCTCATGCTGCACTGTTCATTCTGGTCCTTATCATCACTTTGTTGATCCTTTGACTCCATTTGCATACTTTGGTTTCTTCCGAGGATGCATCTCTCTCTCTCTCTCTCTCTCTCTCTCTCTCTCTCTCTCTCTCTCTCTCTCTCTCTCTCTCTCTCTCTCTCT